CTAAGAATGCAGCAGCCCAGTTTGAAAAAGACATATGCACCCCTATGTTTATCACAGTACTATTTACAATAGCCAAGAAATGGAAGCAACCAAAGTGTCCATCACTAGATGAATGGATAAAGAAGATGTGGTACATATACACAATGGGATATTATTCAGCCATAAGAAAAAAAACAAATCCTACCATTTGCAACAACATGGATGGATCTAGAGGGTATTATGCTCAGTGAAATAAGCCAGGCGGAGAAAGATAAATACCAAATGATTTCACTCATATGTGGAGTATAAGAACAAAGAAAAACTGAAGGAACAAAACAGCAGCAGAATCACAGAACCCAAGAATGGACTAACAGTTACCAAAGGGAAAGGGACTTGGGAGGATGGGAGGGAAGGGAGGGAAGGGAGCAATAAGGGCAGGGAAAAAGAAAGTGGGCATTATGATTAGCATGTATAATGTGGAGGGGGGGCACAGGGAGGGTCTGTGCAACACAGAGAAGACAAGTACTGATTCTACAACATCTTACTACGCTGATGGACACTGACTGTAACGGGGTTTGCGGGGGGGACTTGGTGAAGGGGGGACCCTAGTAAACATAATGTTCTTCATGTAATTGTAGATTAATGATAAAAAAAAAGTCAAAAGAAAAAAAATTTAATACCGCTGAGTTTAAAATACAACCAAATACAAATGTAAGCCAAATGTGTGAGTATTTGGTTCAATCAGACTGATTTATTTTCTATTAAATCGTTGTTTAGGCAAAGGAATGAGTGGCTAATTTATAGCAATGGTTATAGTGCTATTTACAAATTTTTAATTACATACTTCCATTAAAATTTTCTGCCTTTTAATGTTTCTACCAGTAAATGATGATAGTTTTTCTTAATTTAGATTTTCACAAGTGTGTCTGAATTTCATGTCTGGAATTTTAAAGCCCGAATTCAGCTGCTGTCAACAGTCTCTCACATTCATACATATATAAACCACAGTCTTAGTCATAAGAATCACATTTCACACATTAACTCTGTGTGGTCTCATTGAGGAATTTTCTAACTGTTCTTCTCCACTGTGAAAATTAGACGCCATTCAAAGTAGGGTGGCAGCTCGCATTATGGCAAATAACTATAAACAATCGATGCAAAGTGATTAATCACTAAAACAGCAAATTATGACAACGTCACAGGAATCATTCTTCTTGTAGCAAAACCTATCATTAGTCAGGTGAACACTGGAAAAATGTGTAACTTAGCTGTGCCTCCCATTCCTTATCTGTAAAATAATCAGTTTGACCTGATCTTGGGGATCTTTCCCATTCTAAAATTCTGTAACTATATGCCAAAGAATAAAAGGAAATGCTTTTGAGAAATAAAGAGACCATGGTTCATTATTTTCCCAGGCAGGACATACAATCTTTTGACATATTTATTGTCCTTAATAAAAATAGCAGCTGAAATTAAACAGTTAGTTGGGAAACAGAAGCTTTAAGGAGAGGCACAGTATCCCTGGAAGATGTTTCCTTAGGATATGGGGGGTAACTCACTCTCTGTGCGCAATAGTGAGAAATGATAGGAGGGGGACTCAGTTAGGGAATCCTCACACCTTGTCAGGTAGGGCCCTGGAAATAAAAACTGGACTACGACACTCAGGAAAAGCAGCGCTGCTTCCTACAGGTAGGGTGGGTAAGAAAGGGTCACCAAGACATTGCAGAAGACACACTGTAAAGCTGTTTGTTAACATCATTTTGGGAAAAGGTTATTTGCTATTATTGGTTGATCAGTTCCATTAAAAGGAGATTCCTTAAGATGAAAGAGACTGCTGAAGAACTTTCCTACCCTTACCAGTGTTGGCCATGGGTGTAAATATGATGTTTATGAAGCACGGATGCCCAGGGACACTAAGGTACATGTCCTCACCCAGGTTAATTAACTAAACAACTCTGACAGCAGGAAGACACCGAGGCTGTGTGTCTTGGCGACAGGGGGCTGTGACTAGAGCTCCAGAGTGCCTTCCCGCAGCATGGCTCTGAGATCTAACATGTAAATTTACTTTGAAAGTTTAAACATATCATGCAAACCTAAGTTGTCACTACAGAGCGGGCACATCCAGTCCCTTCCAGCACTGCAGAGGCATCCAGTAGGTTCTCAGTATGTATACATTTCTGAGTAAAGGTCGCTCTGGCCAAGACAAACATTATAAAAGGTTCATCAATCCCTGAACAAAACAGCATGACCTTTATGTTTAAAAGAACGTTAATTTCCAGGATTTGTGTACAAATAGAACTGGTCTCTCCATATTAAAATACATTATGCAACTAATACTCTTAACCAAACTTGTAGTAAAGTGGAATGTGCAGTAAAATTTGCTTTTTTTACCTCTAATACTCTTTCAGGAAATAACACACATTTCAGTCTGAACTTTTTTTTTTTTGCTTTTTAGCTTTTTCTAGCCTGAGCTGTTTTGAGCGGAGGAGCCCAGCCCTCCACTCAGATGGTGGTGGGAAGGGGGTCTGGGGAAAAGCCTCTCTGACTCTCAGCTACAGGAACGACTCTGGGAAATTTAACCTACAGACCCTCTGGGGATTCTAATGCTAGGAAGGGAAGAATAATGTGTTCAAGTTTCATTGTGACTTTTTGAAAATAGGCATTTAAAGAAATTTAAAATGAGAAAATATAACTCTCTTACTTTACACGGGCTGGCTGTCCAGTGTCTTCGTCAAAAGCTTGAAATTTTCCAATTATTTGGCTCTGGCTTGACTTGTCCATGCTCTCGCTGGTGTGAAATGAGATTGTGTTGCTCTTAAAATGAATGCCCTCTTTCACATTTTTCACCTTCACTTTGAAGGGAATGGACGTAGGTTTATATTTATTCTTAATAGATTTGTGAAAAGCTGCCTTATTAGTGACAATGATGCTGAAGTTAAGACTCTTCATTTCTTCATAATCCACCTCCTAGGAAGGCAGAATCAAAGGAAATTCTTGTAAGAGGGAAACCAACTGCAGTGCAGACAGAACAGACACATACGCACATGCAGGCTTTAAGGGCAGAGCAGTGATTTAACCCCTGGGGGATACAGACTTGTGCTGATACTATGCATTTAAAAGGTGCTGTCAAACTGGATATTCGTAAATGTTAAGGATGACCAGAGCCCCCAATTTCTTTTTCAAGGATCAATCATTTAACATATGGACATGTACTTCTATTTTTCAACAAGCTGAAGTTATTCTTCTTAACAAAAAAGTGAATATATTCAATATAGACTAATATTCCTTAAAATGTGCACCAGGGGGTTGTTCTGGTGAAAAGGGCCCCACCCACAGTGGTAACCCTGGACTTTCGTTGCTTGTTATCCTTGAAAAGCTGAGACTTCCTGGAGGAAAGACCCTGTTTACCTTTGTCAAGCCCAGGGGTTTTCAAATCTGTTTAAACAAAGAACCTACCCCCTTGTGCTCCTCCTTTTTAAGCATGATGTCTATTAATAACTGGCTTACTATTAATGCTATAAAAGATTCACCTTCCTCCAAATCTACTGTTCTTTGTGAATTATGGTATTTATAAAGGACATCTGATAGAGTTAATCATTGTATACATATTTCATGTTCTAATTCACCCACTTTCTTTTTATTAACATTTCTATAGTACTCTGCTATTCAGATTTACTTACTTTACTTAGCCATCCTGCCATCAGACCTTTGGACTACTTGCAATTTTTCAATATAATTAATACTGTTCTGAATGTTTCTATACAAATTTTTTCCCTTGGTGGAGCTACATCCTAGTACCAAAAGAAGTACCTAGTCAAAGTTCATGTAGGTTGCTTTTTATCCTAGTGGCCCTAACCACTTAGAGGCATTGACTATTTTGCTTGTTTCTTCGGAATAACTTTAGATATATTATATGTGTTTACGTGAATTACTGCAGAGCTGTTCACTTTTGTGTTTGGATGACTTACTATGAAATTCATTTTCTTCTCTGTAGGGTTCTGGATGGCTAACAATTTTTCCTGTTCCTTTTTAAAAATGAGTTACTATGGTGTTGGGATAAAGATACAATAGAAGGTAACTAGAGAAAATAGACTCTTTGGGATTGTAGAATCTTTGTGAAAATTATTTTCTTTTTACATTGCTCTTGCCCTTGACATCTTGTTTTGATGGCATGATATATGCTGGGTAAGAAAGGAAATCTTCCAGCCAGATGTCATTAGTATTCAAAGACCATGGAAGGCTAAGACAGTGTTTAAAGAAATGTGAGTTAAGTACTGGACCCATAAAAACTGTTTCAGGGTGTTTGTTTCAAATAGCCATAATCCTCCAAAGAGAATGGGAAAATTTTCAGCATCATAAGCAACATACAATTCTATGTTTTTACATCTCTGCCAATGTTTTATCATTTCCATTCTTGCTATCATTAATAGCATTAAAGATTTTAAACTTATTTGTTAACTGTAGCAAAGCTGTGGCTTTCTCATGTGATGATTTATTATCTCTCTTTCTACAGTTTAAAATATCAATTCTCCTTTTTCTTTTGGACAGTGTTATGAAGGTATAGCTTATACACAATAAAAATCACTCATTTTAAATGTACATCATGGTGACTTTTAGTAAACCTGTATGGTTTTGCAAGCATTGCTACAGTCCAGTTTTATAACATGTCTGTCATCCTAAGAAGTTCCTTTTTGCCTGTTAGTAGCCAGTTGCTACTCAAACTCACAGCCCGGAGCAACCACTGATTTGCTTTCTATATCCATTGTTTTGCATTTTCTAGAAATTTGACATACATGAAATCATGCCATAGGTGGCCTTCTATATCTGGTTCCTCCAGTCAGCATGTTTGCAAGGCCCATCCACCTGGGAAATGCTCGCCTCAGTATGTATTATATGATACAGCACATTCTGTTTATTTGCTCACCAGGTGATGGACATGTTTATTGTTACCAGGTTTTGACTACTGTTTTTGTGTAGATACCTTTAATTTTTCTTCGGTGGATACCTAGGACTACATCTTGGGGTCCCTGGGTAACTACTCTGGGTATGACTTTGAGACCACCAAACCGGCTCTACCACTTACTACTTCCAGCAGCAACACACAGGAGCTCCAGTTCCTCTATATTCTCGCCCATCCTTGGAACTGTCAGTCTTTGATCACAGCCCTTCAGTGGGTGCATAGCGGCACCTCACATAGTTTTAATTGGCATTTTCCCTAATGACCAATGATGCTGAGTATCTCTGAGGTGCATGTTAGCTATTTATGTATCTTCTTTGTCTAGCTTCTTTTTAACAGAATCTTATTACTGCCCTTATAATTCAGACCCAATTCTTTATACAACTGAGGCAGTAAATTTGTAATTTTCTAAACCTGTTGCTGTCCTTTTAATATTAATTTCACTGTTTTTTTGTCCACACCCCCTTTGGTAGGAATAACAACATCCCTTCTTGTATGCCTACGGTATGTGGAAATACTTCCGTTCTGCAACTCCTGTCACTCATTCCTAAGTGACTCTTCCTACTACTTACGTGTGCTCCTGGCTTTTTATCTCAAGCATCTAGCATATAATCTATTGCTAAGAAGTATATTTACTTCTTTATAAGCAGATGAATCTATTTTGTCTGACAGCATCATACATTTCTTCAATAATCATACAAAGCACCTTCCCTTTAAACATGAGATAATCTCATTCTACTTTCCTCTGCTTCAAATAATGGTGTATATGTGCATATGGTGGCCTTGGACAAATGGTGCCTATAATTATTACCATGAAATGTTCAGTTAATTTTTCCCTATTCTGTTATATATATTATGTTATCATTGTTCCTCTTCCCACTGTTAGACTTTACCCACTTTGCCATATTAAGTTTTTGTACAAGTCTGAAAATCTCCGGAAACAATTTTTGTCTGTATGCAACTTAATGGAAGAGTACTTTGAAAAAATACAATAGCATTTAGAGAAAACTTTTGTTTAAAAATTTCTGAGTTTCAAATGTTTAAGACCCATACACTTAATGACTATTTAATTTTTCCTTCATTGATTCAATTAAGCACAAGAGGTTACAACACTGTGTTTCAAAATATGGTCCTCCTACTATTTACATTAGAATCACAAGTGGATTTTGTCATAAAGGCAAGTTCCTGGGTCCCATCAGACTTGAGGGGAGGCCAAGGAAGCTGCATTTTGGCTTGTAGGCTTACTGGGTTATTTTTAGGCACGTGGGTATTCTTAGGACAGGGGAACAGAGCTTCAGCAAGTTATTACCGCCTTTGCTGTTAGATGTTATCAGCGAGGTCTGGCTTTACTGTTAAGCTGGTTAAATAAGGGACAGCCAATGGGGGGATATTCAGTAGAGGCAAGAGGCCATGAGGTGAGCAAGCCATAGGGAGGTATGGGCTGCAAGCGAGCTGGGAGGTGGGCTCAGCAATGATGGTGCTGGGATCATGCTGTCAAGCAGGGCTCGAGTCCCCTGATGGGAATATGAGCTGTAGTTTGACCACCTGCTAAGCACAGAACTTGGGCAGATAGGGACGGCTCCTACCTCAAAGAACTGTGGTGCTGGCTGATTAAGTCTGTGGATCCCCCGTGTTTGGGGCTCAAAACATATCAGTGCTGTCCTCTGCACCAACTCATCCCATTTCAGTTTTGAACCGGAGTACTTACCTTAATAAGGGTCAAGATTCCTTCGTTAGTTTGAGTATCAGTTTCTATGTGGAAATAACCCTTTTCATTTCCTGATGCAAATGTAAAATTTGCTAACCAGTTATCAGAGCCTATTTCATCAGCATCGAACACTTTGATGCGCATAACTTCTACATTGGCCTGATTTTCTTCCACCATGCCTTCATACTGCAAAATAGGAACACACGATCTTTATTTTAATGTAACACAAACCTAAGGGCTATATTTTTAGGCAAGACTAAAATGGAGCAAGTCAATGCATTTGTTGTAAAAGTAACAGTTACCATTTGATTTTCCACTACAGGGATGTTGTCATTCATGTCCAAAATGCGAATCTGAACTTGCGCTTGACTCGCTGGCTTATCTGTTATCTGTCCATTGCCATCTCTTGCTTCTACAGTCAAAGTATAGCTGCTGTGCTCCTGCAGGGTGATGAAAAATACCCAGCTCGGGTGAAAATGACTCATGCCCAAATCTGTCTTTCTGTTCACTTTATCATCAAGGGAATGGACCACAGTATAATTCACTGATAAATGAATTGCTTCTTCTATTACTTGTAAGAAGGTGCTATCTGTCTGCTGTCAGCATTTTTCTAGAAGGGCAGAAAAGCCTAGAGGGGTTGTTGATAGTCAAATTCCTAAATACATTATTGGCGATGTCATCAGGAGATGAGTCTCTCCTTAAAGTAGTCTGCACAGTCAAGTGCCATTCAAAGTGCAGTGTGCTCTCCCCTGGGAGTGAGGCGGGGCTCCAGGACGGGGCTTCTGCCCCACCCTTCCAGTGCAGCTAAAGGTAGGCCTGGAAACCTGGCCACCGAGAAAACCTGGAAAATGAAAGCAGCGCCTGGTGAACTGTCAGACATGCTGAGAGAATGTGTCCAGAGACAGCCCTCAGGTGTTTTCTAAAGGGAGCCCTTCTCTTCAGAACAGTCCCCTGCAGACAATGGTGCTGTTCAGTGGCTGGGGTTCGGGAAGCCAGTACCCGGTCCGGTGCAGGCCAGAAGCTCCCAGCGGAAGGCAGGCTGGCAGAGGCTCTGGAGCCAGCCACGTGGGTTCCAATCTGGCTTTATCGCTTACTAGCTGCACTGACACATACCTGGGCCCCCAACTTCCTTCTGGGTAAACCGGGAGAGCAGCTGGACCTGCCACACAGGGTTTTGGGTGGGCTAGATGGGTCAGGCTAGGTAAAGGGCTGAGCACAGCACCTGGCACATGCAAATACCAGTACGTGGCAGCTGTTATTACGGGCTAGGCTTTCCACACTGCAGAGGCAGCCACTTGTTAA